TATATATATATATATACATAGATACATATATATCCATATATATTGTATATGTATATCATATACATAGGGACAATTTTATCCAATTTTTCGTTACCAGAGCCCTTAGGGCAATAATAGATTTATGACGAAAATTCACAGTTTTTTCACGCAGCATTACATCACTACAACACACAAGCCGTAGCAAGAAGGTGAAATTCAGTGAGAAATTCGATGCGGGTAATATGTTTAATAATATTTGAATTTCAGAAATACTCTTCCAGATTCTTGTATTTCCAACACAACATGTAACATCTAACATTAGAAGGCATTTTATGGGTTTGACGGGCCAACAGAGACCCGCTGCAAAAAACAACCGTCGTCGCTGGCTGGCAGTTGAGCTGCGTGAGCGCTCCTGGGATATCGAAGCCCTATGCACCGCGCAAAGCAGTCGCGTCGGCCCGGTTGCATACTCCGCAGGCGCTCCGCCAGTCACGCGCACAGCTGTTCACGGGACGCGATCCACAGGTTGCTGCGCGCTGCCACTCCTCGCCAGCTGGTCAGCCACCAACCGCGTCGCAGACAACACAACAGGTTACATCTCGCATTTCGTACCGTCTGTTCGAAAATTGAGACTGCGATACGAGTCGCACTTCGTTGAAAAGAGAACAAGAACATTTCACATTTTTATTTAACTTGCATATGTACACTGAGAAATAATTTTCAGTAGTTTTGTCATAAAATGCAGCATAGAAACAGGTATGCATTGGTAGAACACAATTATAGCACTGCTACCTTTATGAATACATTTAAAACATAGAATTGAAAAGGTTAAGCTACTCTTTAGTGAACGTGCAGTGACACTGTCTTATTAAGTATTCGGCAGAGGAATAAGACTGCGAAAGAAATCCGAAGACGAACACTTGCATAGAAGATTTTTCGGTTTGAACGAATATCGTCAGCCATCGAATATAAGATAATATGGAGTTTATTGCGTAATGGGTAGTAAAAACGAGGTAAATTAACTAGTACATACATGCTAAATAACTCTTGAAATATGTGCATCAATAATTGAACAAGCATGTCATAACCAAACTTTGGTAAAAGGGGAATGGCAATGACAAAATCAAAATACAATATTTGACAAGCGAATCTGATGAATATCGAATTCAGAGAAAAACCGTCATCCCTTGAATTGATGTGACAGTGGTGCCAAGCTTACACACCGGCACGCTACTTACTGAAACAACGAATTAATTTGGGTTCCCAACACCACAGTGTTCTCTTTTTCAGTTGATTTTTTTTCTGCTAGGAAAAACCGTTACTTCGAGTCGTGGGTCCATTGTACCTTTGTAACCCATCCATTGTAACCCATTAAACAACACGTACAAGCGGCGTTGTTTGAAATGCAATTTCTGGTAATTTCAATGTTATTGAACAATCAATATTATCTTCTTTCTTGCTGCGACTCGATACAACGGTATGCGGCCAAGATGACCGTTACTTATAACTAATTCTTCTTAATTAACCATGGAAACTCAAAATACAATCTCTGAGAAATGTATTAAACTTAGACATTATATAAAACCATTCAGCAATATATTATGTATTCCTATTCAAATGTAATCGTGTAGAGCGTATGAAACGGATGTTTTTATATTCATCAGCAATGTGATCGCAATTTTTCCTGTGCTCCACGTACCGCGACATTTGAATGTTTAGATTCTTAGCTGGTACTCGAGATCTATAAGCCCTTGCCGAGTTGTGACCCCCCTGACGAGCGATCGTGACTTGGAGCGGAAACTCACCCCTAAAAACTTTGTCCGTAACACGAAGGAACAAAAACATTCTTTCTTACCTCTAGGATGAAAGGAGGTGATTTAAAAAAATAATTTTAAAAAGTTTCTATCGCGCAAGGTTCAAAAGATGTGAACATCTTTACGTTTTGAAATAAACAAAATTCCATACTAATTCCATCAGTGTCACTCCGGTTACATTACTACACAATTTTATGAGCATGCTTCATATCAGGTAAAAACAAGTTAAAAATGAAATACGCATATTCGTGGAATAATATGCAGTCATTAAAATATTTTGTTGGTATTCTCCACAACATTGGCAGAGTGAATGATAATGATTTCAGTTTTCCATACAACCACAAAGTAAGGTTCGTTGAACAGGTGACAACACTGGTGAGGAGCCCATGGTTTGTCCTGATCACAAACACGACAGCGAAAGTATAAAGAATACACAAGTTTTGTAATTTCATTTCTTTCCCCTTTGAATTGTGGATGTTTCACAAACGTAATAGAGTTATCGGGTTGATTCGCACACTTTTAATGTGAAATGACGATTTGCATTTTATCGAATCTATTCAATTCAACTGATCATGTGACGAAATTCACTTTATAAAGCCCACAAAACTGTAAAGTATTAATATATTTGAGGTACACGCAAACCATACACGCGCACTGCGCTTACAGTTCCGCATGACACCGACCGACTCAGAATCAACCACCCCAACAGAATCAGCCACCTCAACAGTTGCACTCCTGTATACTTGTGATTCGATAGGGGCTAAAATAATTTATTTTATAATATATTACAAATATTTTATTTTTAAATGTATTTTATTCCTATTGTTTCTACACAGCTTGCAGGTACAATTTCAATATATTTGTATTAATAGAAAAATACGTTATGATACAATACAAAGATGCGGTATAATTAAAAATTGTGAAGCGATATGACGTTTTATTGTTATATTTGTAATCTACGTATAAAATAGAGTTCTTTGCGCACTTTCCTGGGGGTAAAAATCTTGTTTCTTATATAAATGTCGGTAACCGAGGCGGGACAGAGGAGGAAAAGTGGTCTGCGTGATCAGCGAAGGGAAATGGTAGTTTGGTTGTGTAGTGAACTATGTACCAGGAGGCTGAGACTGATTTACTTGTTCACCGAACTACAGGAAAATTAAGAGCGTGGTTTGCCTGTTCGGCGAACCCTGGGCAGAGGGATGGTGGGTGTGATTGGCTTGTTCAGCGAACTACACGCTCGCCCCCCCCCCCGTATGAGTTGCTTGTGCAGGGGCATCAAACCCCTGCGGAGTGATTGGGAGTGTGGTTTGCTTGTTTATCGAACCACAGGCAAAATTAGAAGCTGATATGCATGTTCAGAGATCCAGAGGAAATAAATGGTAGCTCTCGTGGACAAATCTACCGCTATTTACAATTGTGTGGTTGGACTGGCCAGCGAGCCAAAACACGTCATGGACATGTGTTCGAAATTAACGCCTTTTCCATGACAGCCATTCGCCTGATTCGACTACTGTTCTTAATTCAAGATCTACCTTTACATTATGACTTGAAAGACATTCATTCTGTTAACATTTGCCTAATTTAAATAAAAAAATTAATAAATATTTGCCAACTACGATCTGGAGGTTAGGCGTTCGATCCCCCGGCGATCCTGGGAAATTCGCCTTAGGATTGGATCTAAAACGGGGTGCACTCAACATCGTGAGTGCAAAGTAAGGAGTACCTAAATGTGGTGTCATCATCGGTCTAGATGTTGGTTAACGGAAGTCATTGTGTTGACCACGCATCAGCTATGCAAAGACCCTCTGGTATATAGGAGCCCTCGATCGACCTTGACTCTTCGCTAGTTGTCGCGTCAAAGATTATCATTGTTGAAAATCGATTAACATTTTTTTCATAAACCTCAACTATTAAATTAACGCCTCACTTTATACTTTCTCGCCTTTTATATACATTTTCACTAATATTCTAAATTATTGAACTGGTAGAATGGAACTGGATGGTCTCAAGTCAAATTCTTATAATTTTTATCTTGAAGTGCTCCACGGCCTGCTACATATTTACCCTCACATCTTTTGAACTTACAATGTCAAAATAATTTTATTATCCTACCCCTAAAGTGGCTCGTGGTCAGCTTCCCGTCGCGCGATCCCAGGTTCGATTTCTGGGCGGGCAGGAATAGAGCTGTAGCTTTCCATTACAATCGTCAGTATATGAAGAAAAGCTCCAGCAGCCCTAGTGTGCTACATATGAAAGCAAAACTTCATGCTCGCCACACGTCTCTCTTAACCACATGTGTGGATAATAAATACGTAAAACATATCTCATTATGGGAACACCGCGTAATCGTAAGTCGAATGAATCGGACCTTAAACTATTTAATACATACATACATCTTACTCTACTGCATCGTACATTCAATGTTATTTCAGATGAAATTGAAATGTTGTTGGCATTATTGGCTTGACGTTATAACCTTCCTTCAAACGCAAGCGTTCGATTTGGCATATATATCATGATCAGGGCTCGGATTCCCAAGACACGTCGTCTTTTCATTGGTGCATTCTAAATATAGCTAACATGTAAATGTGTGTTTATTGCAACTTAAAGCTTATAGAAATGTTTAGTTATTGGGTCATTTTTGCCATTTTCAATTTTATATCATTTTTGACCTTTGGATAATTATTGTCAATTCCCGCACTTTCTTTTGTCTTTTTTGTTAGTGAATGTTTCATGAATTTACAATTACACGCTAAAACAGTTTTTATTGTATCAGCTCAAGACGAAATCCACTACTGCAGTGAGCTCTGTTTTCGGAACACACAAAATTGCTCGAATCTTGGGTCACTTCCTCGACCTTTCAAAGCGGACGGTTGGAAGTTTGGAAGTAAGGATTCCTCCTAAAATGAAGACTTTATATTAAATATAATTTTACATAAATAATTTTTATTTAATATTGTAAAATTCATTGGATAAATTAACATTATCATACACATTTTTAGTATTTTTTTTAAATAGGTAATTTCCCCTTATAAGTCATTTTATAGGTCACTTTCAAAGAATTTTTAGATCATCGGAATCTGAGCCCTGATCATAATTAGTAACAGTCAGACTTGATCTGTTGCGTTACTAATCACCACGATAAACACTGCTTATTCAAATATAAATATTAAGGCGAGAATGGAATACGTGGTTTAAATTATTTAGGATCTACTGAACTTAAAAATTTGTTTTTCATTAGCAATTATACAATAGCACCAAACCAAAACTATACTAAATTATGTTAATTATTTTTTTTAAACTATATGCGACTAAAAAAAGAGATCCATCTCTGCATGACCACCATATTTATCAAATTAAATTCTCGACACTTCCAGGGAATTTTTCAGATTTACTTGTAGATTTTAAAAAAATTGCTGGCCACATTTGCTCATAAATGAAAGCCAAAATCCATTGGCCTATAAAACGTAATTCGATAACTGTACAACCTACCCAAGCTACATTTTCTTCTTTGAATGATCCGGTACTGTAATCACATCTGCACATTCAGGCGTCTCTGGTACGATTAGTTTGAAGGGTATGTCAAAGACATACTGTTACATAAATAATAGTTTCTCCTCGGAATGTTAGTTTAAGACACGGCAACTTTTTTATTTGTTTACAAATTGACGGGCCGCACGTTTCCCGGATATTTACGACCATTCTGTATTGAGCATCCCCCCTCCCCGGCAAGCCCTCCCCGCCACGCCCGCTCAGCCCCCTTCCTCTCTTCAGCTGCTCGCGCTCCGCCTCCCTCTTCTTCCGCTCCTCCAGCCCTCTCCGCTCCGCTCGCCGCGTCCGCCTCCACCGCTCTGCAATGACACCCACATGCCCTGCAGATCACACACTACGAGTAAAACACGGTACTTGGGGGTTGCATTTTGAATTAAAGCGCTATTTTTACTTCCCCACGCCTGCATTATTTCGCCATATTAATAATGTAAACAATGAAACGTACGGCTTGTACGAGTCCTCTATCACTTTCAGCAGGTGCGCAGTAAAATAGTTATCTGAGCTATTAAATAAAGTGTTTGAACCACGAAAAAACGAAAGGGGACACCCTTTCTGGCTCCAAGAACACAACTGAAATCAAGATTTGAAGAAATCACAATCGTTGGTTATCGCTTGCTAGATATCCCGTGTGTAATGTCACTTCTGGGAATATAACTTGCTAACCTTTCGTTTCACGTTAGATTCGATCGTCTTTCGAAACAATTTTGAAGTGCAAGATGCCTCCAGTAAGGAAGGATACTTCAGCGTGGCCATCCTGAAATATTTACTTACGTTAACGTAAATATTTAGCATTGTTGAAAGATTAGAAAATTTAGTTAAATAATGTTTATAAAATGTTTATGCAATATTTCCATTCATGTTCATTTTTTCTAATAAAATATATTAGTATTGTTTTATTTTGTTGCATGTTTTCACACTACTTGCATACTTTAAGCATTTTCCATGCATATTCTGCCTTTTTAATGTGCATATTATTCGTTCTCTAATACTGATGGTAATGAAGAGGGCAGGAGCGGCGCCGCGGCGGCAGCAGTGGGAAGCAATATTGGTTACCAATCCTCTTCGTTAGTTAAGAAAATTCGGACGCATATCTACTACATGTAAGCTTGGGAACTTCATATTTATTTCTTATATTTTTTTAAAAACTTTTTACAAGAAAATGAGAGGAGGGCTTTAACAGTCAATGTTATAAAACTAAAAAAATAGTTATGTTATTGAAAACGTATTTAGGAAAAACATTAAATCTGAATGGTTGTACTTGAAAATCTGGGGAGAATGAAATCCCTCTTCCGGCAGAGACACCCGTGCCTTCACTACCAACTCGGACCTGATTTTCCGTGTTGAAAGAATTTTCCATTTTTAGCCTCCGGGCAAATTTAAGACATGCGGAATACAAAAATAGTCACTTATGTAACTTGTGTAGAAATGAAGTCTTTGACGAACGAACAATCCGAGTGAATGTACTGACCACGGAGAAGTATAATTCTTATATAGATGTGTATATAGTGGTATAGAGAGATTACTCTAATAAGGGACAGTTTTGACAGCTACTGCTTGGCCACTACTAGCAATGTATTTCCAGCTTACTTTGCGGTTTGCGTACCGCAAAGTAACTCCAATCAATTAACAGTAAAGGTAAGATCTATTTTCCATGGACGAGTGCTGAAACAACGTGGCGACTCACCTGTGGCGGGGACCGGGGCGGAAGCGGGAGCGGGAGCGGGCACGCGCGCCTGGCTTCCCGCGCAGTGATCGCCGCCCTCTTGGCCGGAGGACATCGCGCAGCGCGCAGCTCATGGGCCGGGCCGGCCTGCGCAAACCCACATCTCTGCTTGCACGCTGTTGCACAGCACCCCCACACACACACACACACACACACACACAGACGCTCACACTTCAGCCAGCATGCACTCTTCGCTTTTCTTGAAGTCAACGCGACCCTGTCAATACTACGTGCTTTAGAAACGAATTCAAAACAAGTGGTTTTACAACAGTACGTACTTTCTCGCATTAGTGACGGTTACGTAATATTACAATACCGCAATTTCTGACCAGATGAACACCTCTCAGACAACTTTAACTCGTTACCAATTGTAGCGTGTTAGGTGCGAAAACTCCGTGTATGTTTCACTCGCGCCACGACGTCACACACGCATGCAAGCGTAAGTGTATGTAAGGGTGAGGAAAAGGCAAGGAAGAGGAAGAAAAATCGCCCGTGGTCCGTGGCCCGTTTGTTATGGCACTGCTCTGGTATTCAGTGGTGTTGATAAGAGAAACCACGGAAAACCATCGATCAGAGCAGCCACCCTCTAGAATTAACCTCGAGACAGCGCCTGAACTCGATCTAGCTACCTATCGTGTCGCAAATCCTGCTACCTTCGGTACTTTAATCTAGGACCCCTCTGTCCGAATCCAGTCGTGTCTAGTAGCGACGCTGCTGAGGAGAGTGGAATGCCGGCGTGCGGCGAGACATGCGGCGTGAAACTGACCATAGTCCTGACGCTTACAGGATGTGGCTAGGTAGGCCGAAGAACTCTGAATGGCATACCTCACTGCCGCCATTACCGCCAACAGCGGACGGTGCCGCATGACCGAATTGAATTAACGCCTATTTTACATGGCGAGACTCGGGCCATCAGGCTCGCTCTTCCGTCTGACCACGCAAATTTCGCCATCAACTAGCGGAGAAAGGAGGTATTTCTTGAGCGAGAAACAAGTGATTTGAATTTTGCTCAGAGGCGTCATTTAGGCATGAGGATCTCTTACATGCAAGTAAATCTGTCAGCTTTACTTCCTTACGAAGGAACGCGTACGAAGGATTCTTTCGTCCTTCAAAATCCACGGCTTCGATCGGGTTCGAACCCGCAAACTTGGGTCCAACAGTCCGGTACGCTAACCATTACACCATCGCCGCTGGGGTGTGGTGCAATGTGGTGTGCGATGTGGTGCGCAATACAACAACAGGACCATCCTGCTTTCCGCAGCCCCAGAATGCCCCCTCTTTGAGAGGTCTAACTGGGCCCCCTGCGGAAGAACGCGTGGCCTAGGCAGGCGATGCCCAAACGTCGTTCACTGATGTTTCAATAGGAGGCGTGGGCGTTCGGAAGACCTCTGATCTCTGACGGACAGTCCCACCTCACGCCTCCAGAACGCGTGCCCGGCCGGGAGATATATATAATTCACTTAGCTAATGGTGTGCGTCACACGCGCCAACTTTGCTCAGCAGACAGGTCGTCCTTCTAGGTATAGCGTTTTTATTGTTAATAAGATAATATTATTGCTTGTTCTCCGGTTTTCTGTCATTCCAAGGTGGGGTCTTGGTATATCACACTGGAAAAACTGCCGTTTCCAACCCAAAATTACTTTGAAAGATGATCACTAGAAAATTAAAGTGAAGTGCACGAATTTCAAACAATCAAAGTAATTATTTATTTAGTGTTCTTGTGTTTTTACCTATTCTGCTTACTTCTGAACCCCAATCGAACGGATACACAGACCCGTTCGAATCTTTTGTGAACAAAATGTGTGAATCCTACCTATCCCAAAACAGCTCAATTGAATTATGATCCTAAAAAGAAGGTAATTGGAGATTTCTTGAAAACGTACGGAAAGTTGGCTTACAAACTTTTCGGCAGATCAGAATTGAACCATGGCCTAGACTTAGCATTTAACGTTGCCGACTTTATTGCTATTAATTAGATTAATTACTAACTTCCTGATACAATTAACTAGTGGTGCAACAGAATTGCACAGACTATCCGGTATTAGTGTTCTATTTCCTTTGGTCTAGCCTAGCTATACGAACTTGTCGCATACTCTTGCCAGTTGCCATCTATCGTCGCCCAAAGTACATTTTTTAAACATTTTCTTAATTTTTGGGTTTCCTAATAATTGAATTGAAATATTATATCATGAAGTAAAACCTTGCCCTTAAAGGCAAACTTTATATGACATTACTTAAAGCATATGTTCTCATGAATATAATGTGAACAAATTGTCACAAATATAAATATTAACCAGTGGGAGACAAGTCAAAAAACACATTTTTGTAATTTTTGAAAAAACAAAAGAATAGAGCAACATGGAGTTTGTCATCTTATAGAATACATTTCGTACTACCAAAAGTCCTACTATCCTTACCAAAAGTTTAAAGAAAAATTTGGAGCCGTTTTTGAAAAAATCTTTTTTTTTAATATTCTTTAAATTGTAAATATTGTACATAATATTGCGCAAAAACAACCAAAAGCTTCAAAAAAAAGTATACATGACCGTAATGAAATAACTTAATTATGGAGAACAAATTTCATATGAAGGAAAAATCTCTATATTAAATTTTGTAGTTGTAGGAAGAAAAATCATATATTTGAAATTTTCGAAAATTCAGAGTTAACCGTGAAAATCGGACCTATGCCACATTTATAAGTGAATGTTACTCTATTCTTACAAGAAATTTAAAGAAAAAATTGAGAGAATTTACAGAAAGTTTTGAAAATGTCCGGAGGGCTACATGTAAACTACCCCCACATTCTAAGGTTTTCGAATATCTCAAAGCTTCGACTTGAGCCAAATGGACAGAGGTTTCTTCAATTTGGAAAAAAAACCTACGCACGGTTTAGGCGCTAGTACTGTTCACGGACGTTTTGCCGTCAATTGATTTTTCGGTATCAAGGCCCCACAAACCAGGGATTCTGGCTATACCACGTGTTAGAGGATTTTTTCCCTTAATTTACCAACTGGATTTATTCACTTTTTCATGATCAGGGCCCGGCAATGAATATTTTTCTGCCAAAAATCCGCCGTTTTTTTTCCGCGCTGCATTACATAACATTCCCTATACTACGTATATTCCTCTGTACATATGTTTGTATACGTGAAAGTAAAATGGGAATATCTTCTCATAAATGAATCGAACTTCATTTAAGCTGTTTCATGAAGCTTCAGGAACAGTAGGTATTTGTTCCCGTCACATCTATCAAAAATTCAACGTAAACCTGGTTACAAAAAGGTTAAAAACACAAATCAATGGATACTAAGAAAACAAATATATGGAGAATTACCTAGAAGACCGAGAAATGTTGATTAACACCATTGATTTTTGGTCGTGTAGAGCGATTATTTTCTTGTCACAAGTGGCTGCATTAAGACAATAGGAAGTCCTTCACATTAGGTATTTCATGATTGTACGTGGTTTTTTATTGCTACGACGTTACTAACTTGTTTGTACGCCAAATTTTAAGGGAATATTTAAGAGATTAAAGTTTTTTCTTAAATTGCATGAATTTTTAAGAATTTTGCTTGAGTTTAGAATTAAAAACATATAACAGAATAAATCAGTAATTTAAATGTTCTTTATTCTAATTATAGTTTAGCCAGATACTAACATGATTAGCAAAAACAATAAAAACGTACAATTAGCTAAATCGACTTTTCGAAAACCCTAAAACGACGTTTACAAAATCCTGAAACTTCCGGGCGATACTTATTAGGTTCGAAAAATCAAAACATTCATTAGTAAAAAGAAACATTATATATATATATATATATATATATATATATATATATATATATATATATATATATATATCATGTTATACATACACTTTCTCGTTTCTTTATTATCCTACGATGCATCGTTTTCGAATTGTGCACAATCGTACGTTCGAGAGGACATTTGACTGTAGAGTTTAATTTAAAAAATGTTATCAAATTTTCATAATACAGTTCTGGTATATTAACGTACCACAAACACAGGAAGGATAATCCTGATTTTTAAAACAAATTCGTCCTTCGAAATACAAAATCACCCCGGTATAAAACGACTTCGAGAATATTCCCATCTCCGATCATTTTTACTTTCCCGTATACATACATATATACGGAGTAATATACGTAGTATAGGGAAAGTTATGCAATGCTGCGGAAAATCGATTTCTAGACTTCAATGGGAATACATGTTTTGGTGTCCTCTGATACCGAAAAAGTGATTTTCAAAACGTCCATCTGTCGGTGAACATCACTAGTCTATCATCCCTCCGTAGGATGTTTTCCAAATTAAATCAACCTCTGTCCATTAGCCTCGAGTTTTGAACAGAAGCTTTGAGATTTTGAAAGACATTGTTTAAAATTTGGGGTACTTTGCATGAAGATCCCCGGACATTTTAAAAATTTTCTCAAAAACGGATCCAATTTTTTCTTTAAATTTCTTGTAAGAATACAGTAAAATAAAGGTGCCATAAGTCCGATTTGCATGGTCGCACGGTTGATTTGGACGGTTTTTCCGAGACTTTCTACAACTACAAAATTGAAGATAGAGGTTTTTCTTTCATATAAAATTGTCAAGTATTAAGGGATTCTGAAAAAACTCAGACCGCTGGTTCGGAAGCGGAGAAGACAAATGTTGAGCAAGGGCGTACGCATTCACCACAATGCCCGGCCCCCCCCCCCCCGCTCAACGCCCGACAAACAGTCGCACTCCCGCATCATTTTGGATGAAACATCACCCATCTCCCCTATCTGGAAACCCAGTGTTTCCTATGATGTCAGTACATTTGCTCGGAATGCGCTTCAGCAACCATGCCAAAATGAAAAATGACATTCAATGCCTCCTCAATGACATCGCGATATAAAAACATACAAAAACTGCTGGCATCAATGGCGATTACGTAGAAAAAAATGATCAATGTTCAAGCTTTAAATCGATGTAAACATAATAGAAAATAGGCATTTCCTGGTATGATTAAAAAAATAGAAAACCTTACGTTTGGGATTAGCTTCGTATATATTCTCCAATCTATCTCGCTAAGGTCGCGA